CCCCAAAACCCCAAAACCCCAAAACCCCAAAACCCCATATAAAATAATATAGGCTGAAATACACAAATAATGGAAATCAAAGATACTAACAGCAATTCATCTTGTTCTAAACCAAATGCTGAGCGTAAGAGTGGCAAGCTGCGATCAAAAGAATATCGCAAGAGAAGGAAAGAATACATCAAAAATATTGAACAGAAGGTTGAGGGTCTTGAACAGGAAATAAAGGATCTTAGGAAAGAAAACCTAATGTTAAAGGAAGTAAGTGGCGCAACACGACCCTTTTTCTTATAGAAAATCGGGACGATTACTAAAAATTCTGGATTTCAGCGTGTTCATCGCCCTGAGCATCCATTAATCGAGACTCAGAACTATATGAAAAATACTTTTATGAAGAACCTTAGAAAGGAGCCTGATAGTGTTACCCTAAGCATGTACCATCAATACAGCGATCAGTATAAGGAATGGAGGTAAATCTAATTTTAAATCTAATGTTCTAGTGATAACAGGCGAAATTACATAAAAGAACAATTTGACAGTAAGAAAACTAAAAAGTGCTAAATCTGTGACGTTGCGTTTTATTCTTAGAATTCTAAACCTACATAGAAATCATAAATGAGGTCGTACCTTTTGAAACCAAATGATATCAAGCCTTGTTCAAATCTATTACCTTGAAAGATCTTCTCAAAAATCAAGATGCAAAGAGAAGACATAGGAAATTCTTTGAAAAAGCTTTTGAAAGTCCGAAGGACATCCTTTGGAAAATAAAGTTTTCAGAAACTTTTAAGGGTAAAACTAGGGAGTTTGGTTCAAACTTTGTCAAAATTCTCAAGAGATATCAATCAATGTAGGTTAAAACTATTAGCTTTAATAATCTCTGTTATAGAGTTAAAGGAATAGTTACCCAAAGGAATAGATTATTAAATCTTTACTTGGAGGCGAAGGAAATGTATGAAGGCTCTGACTGATACCTTTCTTCCTCAAAAGAAGATATTGCAAATTCAGGGATTATGAATGAAACTTTTGAGGAAAACGGATTTCTTAAACCTCAATTCCTTTGGAACCTTCCTACAAAGAAAGCTAAACATACTCCATACCAAGACGCTGAGCTGAGTGATAATAGTTTACCTTCTTAATTCATTATCTTCCAATCCCAACCATCTAAAACTCCTCCCAAAATGTTACCAAATTTGCCTTAAATTACATCTATTAAACAGCCAAATTTCAAAGCCTGTTAGCCAATTAGGGGTTTTGGGGTTTTGGGGTTTTGGGGTTTTGGGG